GGACATCTCATTTTGTTAAATGCCTATCGCCTCCTCTTCTCCTCTGTGTCAGAAAGCAATCGAGGATGCACAAACTGAGAAATGAGAAAGGTCTATTGACCACCTGGAGACAGAAGTTTTACCCTGTTACCCAGCTCTTACTGGTCCAGTTACATTGCCAAGAACATAAAACTGCTGGTACGAGGTCATAGTTTCACCCCCGTCTGATTTGAATGTGACCATCGCACATCAGTTTCATATAGATGGGCCATTAGGGGCCAAATGAACCTGGGACTGGAACTGATGGGTGATGACATTGATTGGTTTAATAACAGTAAGATTTTATATAAAATCATACAATCAGGGTATATATTATGATGTGAAACTATCCAACACAATATAAAGAGGTGTCAGAGTCTTAAGTATTGATACACAGACTCTGACTCGTCAAACTATTGGTCTTTTGTTGCTTCATGTGAGCTGATAGAATTAACAGAAGATAAATGCTGATGGAAATAACAGTAAATAATAAAGCTATATTCCCCTCATCAGCATCTCGTGACCCCTCACAGTCACTGGGCCAGAATAACCCCTTTGGTCCCCTGGGGAAAAACCTGTCTACTTTTTAGTAAAATGTCAAATTTGAGCACAATATAAACATACAACTTAACTAATAATACAGGTGTTCCCTAAAAGCACCTGACAAATAAACTCTTAATGGATTTAATACACAGTGAACCTGAGGTTGTGGGTCAAAACCTGTGCTTCCTGTACACCTGAATGTGAATGGTTGTAATGAAGGTCTTATTCATTGCAGGAACTCTTTAATTGAATACACACGTTGTCTTTTTGTATAAATGGTCACAAATACACAAGATCACTTCTATTTCTTCTACACAGAATTTATTTTATTGTGTATTGACAGCAGTTGTAGTACAAAGTAAGAAATAGTGCCATAAATGACAAATCCAACATACTAAAAGTACAAACAGGTTAACATAAGGATTCACTCATTCTTGATGAGTTGCATATACCTGCATGTACAATATCAAATCGGTCTATGGTTAATTCAAAATGTTCAGTTACTATGTCCATAACACTGCACGTACATTTTTCTCCCCTTTCTGTGTAGGAAAAAAATAAGAAAAGTCAACTCCAGATGCTGTTGGTGTGCTGTGTGCAAATACTCGCACAGGGCAAACAACTGGAGAGATGCCACCATAAAAGGCTGCAAGAAGAACTTTAGCAATAGTGACATTGACATACTTCTGAAAGTGTCTCTTACTGTTATTCACTTTGAGCCACACCCTCTGTATAAAATGTGCAATTTAAATGAAATAAAACAATGCATTTTTATGCTTATTATGATAATGATTATCAATATTATTTAAAATCAAAAAGCCAGTAAAGGCTGAAATGAAATAAAAAAAAATGTATTCACCTCACTCCGTTCATTCTGTTAATGCTGTTCATACTGTAAATATCCTGCTAGTATATTCATATATGTATCTATAATGTTAAATAATACTTTGAGTGGTCGGAAGACTACAAAAGGCGCTATACAAGTACCTGTCCATTTACTTTACTGCTTTGTACTTCTAGTAAGATGCTTAACTGCATTTCATTGCCTAGTACCTCTACTTGTGCAATGACAATAAAGTTGAATCTAATCAATAAGACCCGGGACCCCCACTGACACTGGCTCTTAAACCCACCCTGTATATATACATTACATTCTTGTTTTTTATATTGCACATTACAAATGTCTTTATATATTTCACTCTGTTAACTTGCAGACCTGTCAGTCCATTGTTATGCACATTTCTATTCAGCTCTTTATTCATTTATTTAAGTGTCCGGCCATTTTTTACATATTCTCTCACTGTTTGCATTTGTACAGCTTCTTTTTATTGTCTATATTTTTTAAAATCTTATTTTCATTTTTATCTTGATTTCTATGCACCAATGTACCAAGGCAAATTCCTCCTTATCTGAAAACTTACTTGGCAATAAACCTGATTCTGATTCTGATTCTGCTCAGTATTCACCATGAAGGTCTGTGCAAAATTTGACCTATGATTTAAAGTAGTGCTGAAATGACGTTCAACGTCTTTCTGTTAATAGAAAAGAGTCCAAAGTGCTGCTGCTGATCACGAAAGTCCACAAGAGGCAAGTCGACTTCCTCCAGGATCCAAGATCTGAAGGTCTCACTGCTGCTGAACCAGCTGGTTCACTTGCAGCTGGACCTGCTGCTGGTTTGAATCCCTGAACTGATGAGACAGATCCAAGAGCAGGAAACACTCTCACCTCCATTAACATCAACTACCAATGTGCCTGTGAGCAAGGCACCTAGACTGGAGATGGTTTGTTTGGGGCATCGTCATACTTCAGAACCTGGAAGACAATGAACAGAAGTTTAATAATTAGTCAGCTGTCTCCTTAAAAAGTCTGGTATGATTTACACAACAAGGATTTACACTCACTTTCTGTTGTTTCTTGTGTTTAAGTAAATATCCACCGACTCCACCACCCAGGACCAGTAAGACGCAGACAACCACAACGATCAGAGCGCCAGGATGGGAACGACCAGCTGATGTGAAGAAAGCAAACAGAGAGAAAAGTTACAGTGACTGAAATAAACACAAAGTGTGATTCAGTTTCTGACCACGCAGAAGATTCTTCACCTCTAACGTTCGTCTCATTGTTTGGATCTGGAGTTTGGAGATCTCTGTCATCTGTCGTCGTTTGAACAGAGTTTGGTTCTGAAAAAACAGATTTATAATGATTTAAAACACAATATTATAACACTTAAAGCTTTGCAGACGTCTACAGTCAGCAGCTCTGTGAGGATATACTCTCACATGATGATTAATTCATTAAATTAATCATTTTTGGTTGTTCACAGTGTGAGGAGCTTCATGTCAGCACATCTGATACTAAAACAATCAGCTCATGACCACATCAAACCACACATTAAAACCAAACATCACAATGTGACCAACGCAGGGCACAGTACTCTGCAGAGTGCTGGCCTACTATATTCTGTAGGTTATCAGCAACAATAAGACAGAGAGAGGTCAGATATCAGCCTATTAACACACAAATGTATGAGCAAAGTGACGCTGATCTAATGGTGACAGTATGGATTAACCTTCTACTAATAAGTGTGAAAGGCTGATAAACCCTGTGTGTGTACATATATAGATACATATGAACTGAATTGAGTTTAATAATAAGTCATTTGTTTATTATTTAATCTAAAAACACTTACCAACATCAAGTTTAATGGTTGCTCCCCTCTGTTGGGTCTTTAACTCTATGATGAAACATGTGTATATTCCCTGGTCAGAGAGCTTCAGGTTGGTGATCTTGAGTGAAACGTTGCCGTGTTTCAGTCCGTCTGTGAACAGAGTCGTCCTCCCAACGTATGCTGACAGCTTCAGGTCCCTCTACGTCCTGGTTGTTATGGTAACGGTGGACATACTTGTTTTTGCTCTCTGGGTTTCCAGGGTCATACTTCCACCAAGTCACCGTCATTTCCTTGACACTGAGTGGAGGCTCCACATGACACGGCAGGATGACATCATCACCCAGAGGAGCCCTGATTGGCTGACGAGAACCGACCACCTGAGGACGATCTGAGAAATGGAGGAACAATTTTAATCTTCTGGAAATGGAGTGAAGTCTTTAATCTGATTTGCTGTAACTACTACAATATTAACTATTATTTTACTTCTCAATAATTCTAAACTGAACTGTATTTTACTGCAGTTGTGCTCGTAACTAACTAATAAACTAACAATTATTTCCATCATTGATTAACCTGCCAGTCATTTTCCTGATCAATCACTGGGTCTATAAAATGCTAAAAAATGCTAATAGTCTTTAAATAGTTGTAGTAGTTTCGTTTGACCAACAGTCCAAAACCCAGAAAATATTCAGTTTATTATAAGACAAAGAAAAACACAAATATTGATTATTTTTAATATTGTTTCAGCTCAATGTGTGTGTGTTAGAGTGTGTGTGTGTGTGTGTTAGTGTGTGTGTGTAAGCAATAGTAGCAACAAACATGATCTTACCTTCACTGGATGTCTGGACTCCCTCACTCAAACATACAGTCAAAGTCCAGAATAGGAAAGTGGAACCAACCATAACCCTGAAACTCTCCAACGGCGAGCTCCCTGTGACTCTGTTTGTTTCATGGAACAGGCCTCTGGGTGTTTATGTTCAGCTATAATAAAGAAAAAAACAACTTAGTGTTAGTTTGACATCTTTAACAGCTAGTTAATGAATACATTAAAAGTTCATATACACCTATACCAGGACGAAATTTTGATTTCAGAGGGAGGGGCGGACACAAGTTTTTTGTTTAATTTTTATTTTTTTGGCCTTTTGATGGCTTTATTTATAGAGACAGCTGTAGGGAGACAGTGATGGTGGGTGGAGAGAGAGGGGCAGGACACGCAGCAAAGGGCAGCGGGTCGGATTCGAACCCGCACCGCTGCAGCAGCTCCGTATACGGGTCGCCAGCTCTACCGACTGAAATAACCGGCGCCCCCCAACACACAATAGTTGTTCTTTTAGTTCTCTATTGCTACTTTTACGTTTACTGTTCCCTTTTTTGGTTTGACTGGTTGTAAAGAATGTAAATGTAAATATAGAATAAACATTCTGGACACACACACACACATACGCACATGGACACCGATTCAAACGTGAATGTGAATGAAACCTCTGATGTTACCTGGGCAACTGCAGCAGACCGGTGTGCGAGCAAGATGGAGTGACAGCGGGGACGGCCAATCACAAACAAACAAACAGCAGAGCCAATCGAGGAGCTTGTGGGCGGGTCTAAACTAACAGGCTTCAGCTTGAGCGGCCGTTTTCCGCTGAGCCCTAAGGGCTATTGCACAAAACCAAGATAAGGGATTAAGCCGGGATATTTTGTTTATCCTGGCTTAATTTAGCCTCAAGTCGGTTGCATGAAAGCAGGTTAAACTTATCCCGGCCAAGTTACTATGGTGATTTATTCTCTGCAGTTAGCCTGCTCCAGACCAGGCTAAGATTAATCCTAGTGATTCACCTGTATTTCCACCGTCAGTCCTGTGAGGAATTAATGTGCTTTACAGCATGCCCATGGTCTTTCTAAGTATGTTGCATCATTTTAATTATCCTGCATTCAAATATTACATATATATTGTCATTTCTCATTTCATTTAAATCTGTTGGCTGTTTGTAATTGCAACAGTCTTTTTATATTGATTCAAGTGGAAGTATTATTACTCAGGACAAGTGTTATATTGCTATGCTAATGAAGACTGCTTGTCAAAATCCTGTCGGAGGTTTCATAAATATGTGTTTTATTGTAGTAATTGAGATTACAAAACACAGCTGATGAAGTTGCAAAGGTGTTTTCAATGAAATCTGTGACAAGGGCAATATAGTATATATATTATGGCATGCCGTTTAGGAAATTAATCTTTGAATATATAAAATGAAACTTTGAATTTATGGAATGAAACTTTGAATATATAAAATGAAACTTTGAATATATAAAATGAAACTTTGAATATATAAAATGAAACTTTGAATATATAGAATGAAACTTTGAATATATAAAATGAAACTTTGAATATATAAAATGAAACTTTGAATATATAAAATGAAACTTTCAATATATGGAATGAAACTTGACTCGTCATCAAGGCACTGCTGTCATCTTGTAGAAGTGAGAAGGAGTCAGTCAGGAACCTTGTGGCAGCAATACTGATCAATGAGGACATTATTAACTCATTGGTAAGTGCTTGTAGTGGCCAAAATCCTTCCCATAGTACCCGTGCCCAATACCGTTCTCCTGACGAAGAAGTTCTTTTTAATGGTGGCAGGCCGACTACAACAGGCCTCAGGCTAAATCCTGACAGAAAAAGCAAAAAAGTTTTCCAGTTTAAGAAAGTATTGTAATATTTCAACTGATGCCATTTTGTAAAACCAGCTAATTCAGAAGGCTATCACTTTGATGAAAAGGATACAACTAGGTTTTGAATTTTATTATATATATATTCAAAGCTTCATTTCCTAAACGGCATGCCATTATTTATATATATATATATATATATATATATATATATATATATAATTCACACCTGTTCCCTCTTCATAATGGCTTGCCCTTTCTTGGAGGATGTACTGGATGAGGAAGCCCTAATCCTCAGACGAGCATTTAGTCATGAAAGAGTCTTCTGGGACAGGTCAGACCCATTGGCCGTTGGAGAGGACTATCTCATTGAGAGATACCGATTCTCAGGTGATGGACTAAGATATTTATGTAGGCTTCCTTTATTCTGTTGGGGATGCAGAGAACCTCAATAAAGGAACCATTTGCAGCACATATCCTGGCTTGGTGGGCCGCCCCCTGTGCCAGTTCTATGGGCTTTTTTTAACTGCTACAATCATACAGACATTCAACATGTCAGCAGACACCTAATCTATTCACCTCATTAGTTCACTGTTATCTACTTTATAGTCACTTTCCAGCCTGCAAAATGTTCTTATATTTAACTTTAACTTGCTGCCAGGTCCTTTTATGGCCAGACAAGTTTTTTCTTTATGAAGGATAGAAAGATAAAATAGATTTAAATAGATAAAATGACACACATTGTGAATAATTGTTTGCACTTAATCATACTTTATATTTCCTGAGTAACATGCACCTCTACTTGCCACATTTAAAGCAAAGTGTACAACAGTTGATTAGTGGACTTAAAGTAACTCCTTTAGTCCTTTAATTGGAGCCTAATGATGACAGTTCCAGTGGAGCACTGTTTATTCATTGTACAGTTTTGGACTACTTAAGCATTAAGCCGGTCCGCTATTGTCTGCCAGGCTTTCTCTCTTTCTTTAATTATGGCATTGGTATTGCCTTTTTTCTTATATCTTCCACCTCTTCATAGAACTCCATCAGGAGCTGTTGTTCAGTGGCCGTCAAATATGAAGCGTGACTCTGATCCATGTTCCCATCGGTGATTCTGTGAGCGATCACGAGGTCTATTTCAGTATGCTGTGAACACGCACTTATCCCGACTATCTACACCTGGCTTAACATAGCCGCACCTTTTCATCCTGGCTCCGCAAACGTGCAACCAATTAAGCCAGGATGCGCCGAGCAGGCAAGGTCAAGCTGCGCTTGCTCAATTATCCTGGATTTCTTTATCCTACTTTTGTGCAATACCCCTCTAGTGCTTGACGAGTGTCTGTTTGTGTGTGTGTGTCCCATTACGTCCGTGCACACACGCACACACACACACACACACACACGCACGCACACACACACACACACACACACACACACACACACACACACACACACACACACACACACACACACACACACACACACACACACAACTCCTCTTCCCCCAAACACCAAGCAAACACAAATCTATTCCAGCAACATCATAATAATAACAACATGTTTTGTCTCACCGTCTATCCATTGTGCCGGTTCCGTGTGTCTCTGAATCCATGTGACTGCGCAGTCACTAAACAGAAAGTAACTTTAACGCGACCGTTAACTTAAATAAATAACTCAGTAAGATTCTCAAATACACAGTCCAGGTCCAAACTCCCCGAAGAGACCCGGAAAACTGATCCGACAGAGCCCAACTGTTCGCGGGGAGCTGACAGACTGAGAACAGCGTGGGATGAACCAGTGACACAGAATGAACCCCGGAGATCTCTCTCATCAACGCATCATCCAGCTCTG